AGCTGGCTTACTGTTTCCAAGATACAGTCCATTATTATCTTGATGGGGAACAAGATGGTGTGCAGGCAGACATAGCGCTGGATTAGTAGCTGAGAATCCTATGTCTTGTAAGCAACAAGAAATGGACTGAGACACTGGGTGGTATCCTGAGCACAAGAAACATCAAAGCCCACCCCTACAGTGACACACTTCTTCCAACAAGACCACTCCAACAAGACGACACTTCCTAATAGTGCCACTCCCTAAGAGATTATGGAGGGCAATTACATTCAAACTACCACATCATATAAGGCTTAACAACAGAACATCAAAGTACATGAGACAAAATTGACAGACCAGAAAGGAGATATAAATATAGTAATGATTGCAGCTGGAGACTTACCAGCAATGTATGGAGCTAGGAAACGTGATTGATAGATGCCAGGTAATGTCATTCAGTACAACTATCATGTGTTACTGCTTTAAGAAGAATAAAACAAACAAACAAAAAACACTTCCAGCCAGGCAGTAGTGGCTCGCACCTTTAATCCCAGCACTCGGGAGGCAGAGGCAGGCAGATTTCTGTGAGTTCAAGACCAGCCTGGTCTGCAAGAGCTAGTTCCAGGACAGCCTCCAAAGCCACAGAGAAACCCTGTGTTGAAACCCTCCCCCCAAAAAAGTAAAAAACACACTTCCACACACACATGAGATAAGCAAATAATTAAACAAAGATCTTACATCACAAAGCATCAAAGAAAATGTAATCAGAAATCAAAGAGACTACAATAAATACTACATATGAGGAAGAAGAAAGGATGAAAATTTGTACTTGATGACATAAGTTGTAAACCTCTTCATGGAGGAAGAAAGGGCGTGCAAAGAAGGCATGGGTGTGATGAATAAGAGATAAAAGGACTATGTCCTTCAATCCTTCCCTTTTCCTTTCCTTTTCTAATTTTAGACCCCATGTCTGCTCACTCATGCATGCACACATGGAGGATGGGAGTGGAGACCATATTGTCAGAAAGGAAAGCAAGAAAGATCATTATTTTAATCTTAAATTTTTAGATAACTAGTGTCTGCTGTTATAATACACAAACAGAAAATGGAGGGGATAAAGTTACTCAAAACAAGTAGATCCACTGTCATCCTGCATATAAGAGAGCCCGGGTAGGGGGAGGACACACATGGCCCACAGCTGTGTTTTTTTCTGTACATGATGCATCCTTGCTTTGCAACATAAATATTTAATCTCTTACATATATAAAAACTCATATGCTGTCTTAGTTAGTTTCTATTACTGTGAAGATACACCATGACCATGGCAACTCTTATAAAGGAAAACATTTAATTGAAGTAGTGACTTACAGTTTCCGAGGTTTAGTCCATTATCATCATGGTGGAACAAGGTGGCCTTGCAAGAAGATGTGCTGGAGCTGAGAATCCTACATCTTGATACAAAGACAACAGGAAATGAACTCTCTCACTGGGAGTGACTTGAGCATATATGAGACCCCAAAGCCCACCTCCACAGTGATACACTTCCTCCATCTAGATCATACAATCATACGTACTTCAACAAGGCAACAACTCCTAAGAGTGCCACTCCCTTTAGGGGGCATTTTCTTTTAACCCACCACATATGTATGTGTGCCTCCTGTGGGAACATATGTGTGTATGTGTATATGTATTATATATATATATATCCCCACAAAAAAATACTAAAAACTGTCTTAAGGCTTACAATCTAAGTGGTTCTACACACATGAAAAATGTATACCTTCCCATGAAATCAGAGAAATACTGTGTTCATGTAAAAGGATTTATTTATTTTTATTTTTTGTGTGTGTGAGTGTATTTGCCTGCATATGTGTCTGTGCACCATTTGTGCCTGGTACCTATAGAGACCAGAAGAAGCATCAGATCCCCTAGAACTGGAATTACAGATGGTTGTGAACTGCTATGTGGGAGCTGGGAACCAAACTTGGGTCCTCTGTAAGAGTAGCCAGAGCTCTTAACCACTGAACCATCTCTTCAGACCCAACATTTTGTCCTTGACATACAGTATTTCCCTCTGGTTCTCTCAATAATCAAATAATTTTGAAACCTAATCTGTGTGGGGTTTGTATCATGAAATGAAGCATCTTTTACAATCATTGGATTCATTGCCAATGTCGAAAAAATCAGGAGATTTTCGGCAAAAAAGTTTCATGTTTCCAATTTCCAGTTTGAAGACAAGTCTGATAACATGGTCACCCCTCCTGGACCACAGGAATCCATCAGCACTGAGCAATAGTTGCTCTTCCTCAGTTGGTTCAGCAGCACTGCACCTGTAGGCTTTGCGGACATCGGAGCTTGAAGTCCCACACATGGTTCTGAGACACTGTGTGTTTTGTTTGAATGTATTTGTGGTTAATAAACTAAAATGTACTTCCTAATTCTCCCCACGGATTCTTTTACAAGAGCTAAAATAATGTACTTTGAATCATTTTATAAGTAACAGGCATTACAGTGATGGCAATGCTCACTAGACAGCATAAGAATTTCTCTTCCTATTTCTGGTACTCATCTATGAATTTGGCTGACTAACCAGGAGCTAGTGACATGATGTGAAAGGGTCAAAAGGCATATTTTGAGGCTAATGTTGCTGAAACTTGGGGTCCCCTCACTTGAATCCTGACAACATTTTTATTTAAAAGTTGCAAGATTCCAATGTTTTAACCACAGTTGGTCATAACCCCTGCCTCTGCTCTGTGTTTTCTGCCTAATTTCTGGATCTGTTTTTGTTTATGTTCTTTTCCTTAAGGAGAGTCTCCAAAATTATGTAAACTCTAGAACTCAAAAAAAAAAAAAAAACCTATCTGTTTGGTCTACTGCAGATAGTCTCAACTACTATAGCACTTAGCTTCAACTGTTTCTGGGCACTACACACAGAGCATTTGTGGACCAATTAATACGTGCCTATTTCAAGACCTCAGTAAAGGAAACAGCTAAGTTTCCTGGGATACATCTTGACATCAATCCTCAGGACTTTCTGAATCCTCAACACTTTATGGCCATGGCTTATATATAGTAACATTAGGCTTCCAAAACACAGGGCTGTATATTTTCTATTCTCTGATCTATACCTAGAACCAATCATAACACTTGAACTAGAAAACATTCAATATGTTTTGCTGAAGTAATGATTTAATTTATGAAGACTTATTCTGGTTATATTTCAATATTCTCATTTTTCACAAATAAATTTGGGGCCTACAGTCAGGCACTCAAAATAACAGGTTCACTTAGAAGACAATCAAAATTAATTTCCAAGTTCAGAGAATACATAGAATGTGAGGTACTTGATGGTATGGTCAACACCAAACCAGTAATGGGACCATGTGGTGAAATTCAGTTAGGGAGAGCTAATTGATGCTAAGGTCATGAGACCTATCTCTTCTTGTGGTAGATACACCTAATGTTCAGCCTGTAAAGGTCTGTATGAACTCTTCTGCTCTTAACTGGACCACCTTAACAAATAACTTTTTCAAATTTCTTCATATCTGTGAAACTAAAATTGCAAAGTACAAAATGTGTGAATTCTTCAAGTATCTGCCTTTTTTCTGCCATGTGCTGTAAGTTAGATTCTGTCTTTGTTGCTTATTACCTGCCAGCTGTCATTGCTGTTGCCATTTCTCTAGTGGCAGATACATCCACATTTAGAAGCTGAGGAGACACCTACAGACGAGGACAAAAGAGACTAGAAAGGGGAAAGATGTAGTGCTGAGTCCAGCAAAAGAACAGCTGAAATTAAAGAAAGGAGAATATGAAAGAATAGAGTGGGAAAGACATAAACTACAAAATTGAGATTTCCACAACGGAATGAAAATGATGAAAAATACAAAGACTTTGGAGCAAAGAGAATTCAGTACCAGAAAAAAAAAATATAGGCATTCACTAAAGAATAAGTAGTTCCTTGCTTCCTGTTTGTAGTTGCTTTTTTGTTTGTTCATTGTTGTTTTGCAACAGGATCTTACCATATAAGCCAGACTGGCCTTGAGCTCTCTATCTTCTGCCTCCAGGATGCTAATATATTAAGTGACATCACCTCCAGCTGAGGCTTCTCTTTTAAATCTACTACAATTACTTACAACTGGTCTTCAATCCTTGTCCAGAGTGGTCAAGGGAGACATAGGAGGTATTGTCTGTGGGGAGAGATAACCCATCTAATAAGCTACGACAACGTTTCACTCTTTTTTCCTGAAGCTCTGGGGTGTCCTGCATATCAAATTCCTAGATGGACTTGAGGTTGGCTGGACCTAGGTCTATAATTTTAGGACAACAAAAGTTTGAGCTTTTGCTGGTTTTTATTTATCATTAAGAAAAAACATCAAATAATAATAATAATAATAATAATAATAATAATAATAATAATACTTCTTGATTGGTTATTATTCTGAAAATGAGAGATTGGGAGTCCTGGGGTAGAACTAAATGAAAGGCCCAGCAGATACGTGAGCCACTGTAGGACACCAGCACTGGGCAGGCTGGAGTTTGTACATTTCTTCCCTCCAGAAAAGAGCAGAGAGTAATTGACTATTCAGAGACAGTCTCTACTTTCAGGACTCAATGTTCTGAATACCAGGACCTTAAATGGGGGTCTCCAGGAAGATGTCTATCCCAGAGAATTATTTTCTGTCTCTCTGATCCTTAGTTTGGGGGATACTTTGTCTCCTTGTAGACAGATACATACTTTTTCCTTACATCTACTCAATCACTTACTCATCTGTGCCAACCCACCAACCCAAAGGGCTTTGGATTTGTATTAATAGAATGCAAGTAAGCAGAAAAACCCTGAGGTTGAGATCCAAGATAAAACACTACAGAAATTCACCAGAAATAAACAATTGCCATCAGCAAAGTGTTCTGGACAGCCTCTGATAACTGAACAATGACATTGCCCATGTGAACTCAGCTAACCAGACAAACACATCAGTGGTGTCACTTAAACAATTATTGTTTTTATTGTAATTATTCAGGTGCATCTTCCAGAAATCTGAAGAATTTCATAGAAAGGTAAGGGGAAGACAGATCTAAGAAAGTGTTTTAAATATGATTGACTTATGTTGAAAAGAATGAAAGTTCTCATTTATTACCCCATTGTCATTTCTACTGAGTGTCAATAGTTTCCTTGAACACTGGGCATCCTCTTCCTGGGCTAGTAACCTTGAAAAGTGATTGGTTCCAGTATGTTCTCAGAGGACCAAAAAATGAATGTGAGTTAAATAAAATTTAACTTTGAAAGAAGTAACTTCAGAAACATATGATCATATCATAGCCTGGCTTTATAAATAAGAAACCTATTTCTTGTGGTTTTTCTTTTTTTTTTCTTTTTTTTCTTTTTTTGAGATAGAACCTCATTCTGTAGCCCCTAGAGCTAATTATGCCAGCCAGACTCATCTCAAACTCGTGTTATCCTCCTACCATAGGCTGCCAAGTGCTGAGATACCATGCCTAGAAAGTTAATATTTTTGTGTGTATTTGGGGATTAAAATTCCAAAGTGAGGCTGTATATAATATCCTGAACGGAAGCCTGAGGAAACCCTTACCTCTGTGAATTAAGTAGGCCCCACAGCTCTGAGGCTATCATGTGAAACTGGGCATAAGTAACCCAACTAACTACCTCACCTAGACCTGTTGATAATCGTGTTTTAAACGATGTTAAGAAGATGATAGTGAGTTTGTTTAGTTGAAATTTCAACATACCCTTCAATAGTATGTGTTGATATGCCATCTCCTAGTGGTAATTGAATTGAGATTATAGAAAAGGATGGGAATGCTGACTAGCTTTGCTGAAATGAAAGAAAAGCTGGTTGGTTTTCCATGGGTGGTTACACAAGGATATTCCCCCAGGCTCAGCCTGTGTTGCTGGTGACAATGCTGCTCAGACTCCATCTTTTCTCAGCTTGTCTAGGAACCAGGCATTGGACCAACCAGCCATTGTAATTTATGCCATGATTGGAAACGATGTCTGCAATGGGTAAGATGAGAAAGATGCTAATGATGCTAAGAAGGTGATGTTGGGCCTATTCAATTGGGATTTGGCTCTGGCTTCCCCCTCTTCTACTTCCTACCCCAGTCTACTCCGCTATAGTGTGAAGGTATCAAATAAGTTTATCCCAGAAGGAAATCCTGGGTATGTGACAGCAACAGGAACAACCCATGAAACTGAAAGCTTCCTTTGAAAAACAACAAATCTGAGCCATTAGCTGTCCATTCTGACATCACAATGAAAAGGTATGCTAGGATCAAATGTGGATTATATCAGAGGAAATACATGTCTGAGATCCAAGACATAGAATCCCAACATTTGAAACAGTGCACAGCAAAAGTGCAGTCATTTCACAGGGACACAGGCCGCACTCATACTCTGACAACTTATGAAGAAGAGACAGCGTAGAAACTACATGTAACTCGCACTCGATCCTATTTATTCTGAAGGCCCACAGGAAAAAGAGTTTTGCTAAACTATAGCATTAGTGCTAACCCCCCTCAACCTTTGAAGAGCTATATCAAAATCTGTGTACACCCCTAAAACTGTGCAGCATGGGAGTATCTGGCCTGTGGTTGTGGTTAGAAAGTAAGCAAAGGGTGACACGGGCTGTGGAGCAACTCCCAATATCCATCTACCCAGTATTTTAGGAAAACATGAAAGACAAGCCAAGAAGGAGACTTGCTCAAGTTAGCATAACTGATTAATGGCCAGCTGGAGGTCTCCCTGCTTACATACCTTCCCCTAATCCTACCTATTCACTGGGCCTCCCAAGTCTGTGCTGAGAACAAAATCCAATAGGATTAAAGTCCATTTGCTTCCATAGAACTCAAACTGCAGTGCAAACAAATCAGCTCAAGGGTGGGACATGCCACTCTATGATCCATTGTTGCTTGTGAGCCAGTTCATACCTGGGTCTCTCCAGGACCCCAAACCTATATTGTGAGGGCCCAGGTCCCTGTTTCTGATGAGCCACCCAGGACTTTCCAGTGGCATGTACATACCATAAGACCTGCTGTTCCTGGTCCAAGATCTGTGTCCCTGTCTGTATCATTCCATCCCTCTAGCAACCCACAGAGGCAAGTATGACTCCTTGATGAGGAAACTGAGTCTCACAAAGTAAAGGAATTTGTTCTACTGCCATCAAATAACAAAGCTAAGACCTGCAGGATCTCTGATTAAATTCTGTCTTCTCTCCCTGGTTTACTCTGGTCTTATATTCTATTATTCATTCACTTTCCTCAAGCACATGTTGAGCACTACTAATAAGCCAAGTACTACGTCAGGCTCTGGGAACCAATGGCCAAAAGGCCTGAGTCCCTGATCTCAGGGACTCACAGCAGAGAAACAGAGATGTGGCTTCCAGTCCCCACTGCAAAAGAGAACAGCTCTGGTGAAGCCAGAAGATGTCGCTCCAGTCCCTGGACCAGGTTCTCCTGGGTACAGAGAGCAAAGAGGTTACAACTGGATAGAGTGCCTGAAGAAAAACTCTCCCTCCAAAAGTCAGAATCACTGAGAATTCCCTCCCCTCCAGAGGTCCCTCCAACCCAGTCCTACTTTCCTTTTTCCAAAGACCCAAAAAATCAAACATTAGCTAGAGGCCCATGCCAGCCTCTCCTCTGCCAGGGATCTATCTGGGCAGAAAAGCAGTGAACATTTGGATGAAGGAAGAGTTGGCAGAGTAGGATGTCCCTGCAGTGCCCACTTTATGATGTCCTGTGGAGAGGTTAGAAAAATAAAGACAGATGGAAGACCATCAAGGTAGAGTAGATATCCTGTAATGTGCAAAGGGTTCCACACAAAGCCCAACCAGAGGGTTGCAAAACTGATCTGTCCAGGAACAAGTTTCAGGAATTCAATTTGTCTCTTTACACCTTCAACTTAAAAAAAAAATGATGTTGCTAGCTCTTATTGAAACAATGCATCCACATGTGCTCTCAGTTCTCTAACTGTATGTGACTACTCAGTAAGTACTTGTAAGTGAATGAAGGTCATGACTAGAAGACAACTTTTAGGAATTTGGAAAGAAAGGCCATGTGAAGGCACTTAGAATTTCCACTAATTACCTAAAGTTTCTCAGTGGTCTTAGGCTTACCCATTACTGTCCTTGAAACTCTTTAATGTGACCCAAAAGTTCAACACTCCCGAAACAGAGCAAATGTGTGGGAGCTACAGCAGCAGAAACTTTGAGTGGTCAGTAAAATCCCATTGTATACATGCAGCACATTTTCTCATTTCTCAGCTAATGGGCATTTAGGCTGATTCCACTCCTTTGCTATTATGAAAAGAGCATGATAGGCACAGATGTACAAATATCCAAATGGTAGGATACAGAGTCCTTTGGGTGCATGCCCTGAAATGGTATAGTTGGGTCTTATGGTAGTTCTCTGCAGATAGTCTTCCTCTGTCCCACCAACCCACTCCCAAATCATGACACAGAGTCTTACTATTAATTATGAAATCTCACCCAATAGCTTAGACTTGTTTCTAACTAGCTCTTATAACTTAAATTAACCTGTTTCTATTAATTTACTTTCTGTCTTGTAGCTTTATTACCTCATCTCCATAGTGCTCATACTGATGACTCCCTATCTCATGCTGTCCTGCATGCCTGAAAATTCTGCCTAGTTATTGGCTGTTTAGCTTTGTATTAAACCAATCAGAACGACACATCAACTTAGTGTACAAAAAGATTATTCCACAGCAGGTCTATGTTTGTTTTTTTGAGAGGCCTCCATATCAATGTCCATAGTGGCCAGACCTATTTGCATTCCCACAGAAAGTGAATAACAGATCCTTCCCACATCGTTACCAGCATCTATCATCATTTGTATCCTTGATTATCACATTCTAACTGGGATGAAATAGAACCTCAAAACTTAGGCCAACTTAAGTTATGTAATTATTACATTTATTGATTTGTATATGTTAAGCCTTCCCTGCATCTCTGGAATGAAAATAACTTGAGCATGGTGATCACATTTTTTATTCATCCTTTTTTTTACTTATTTTACATACCAACCACAGTTTCCCATCCTTTCTCTCCTCTCGTTCTCTCCCCTCACCTCCTTCCTACCCGCCCCCATCTATTCTTCCTCCATCACCATTCAAAAGGCCTCCCATGGGAATCAACAAAGCATGGCATATCAAGTTGAGGCCAGACCAGGATACCCCCCCTGCCCCGGCATCAAAGCTGGACAAGGCATCCCACCATAGGGAGTAGGTTCCAAAGAGTCAGCTCATGTATCAGGAACAGGTCCTGGTCCTACTGCTAGGGGCCCCACAAAACACCAAACTATACCACTGTCACCAGATGCAGGGGCCTGCCTGGCTGGTCCCATGCTGTCTCACTAGCTGTCTGTCCAGAGTCTGTGAGCTCCCACAAGCCCAGGTTAGCTGTCTCTCAGTGAGCTTCCCCATCATGATCTTGATCCCCAACCCCTTGCTCATAGAATCCCTCCACCCTCTCTTCAACTGGACTCCCAGAGCTTGGCCCTGTGCTTGGCTTTGGTTCTCTGCATCTGCGTCCATTAGGTACTGTATTTAGGCTCTATGATGACAATAGGATAGTCACCAATCTGATTACCAGTTCAAGAACCCGCTCCACTATTACTAGGAGTCTTAGCTGGGATCATTCTTGTTGGTTCCTGGGGATTTCTCTGGCCCAGGTTTCTCCCTAATCCCACATTGGCTGCCTCTATCAAGATATCTCTTCCATTACTCTCACCCCTCTATCCCACCCCTAACTAGACCACCCTAACCCCTTAAGTTCCCATTTCCCCATTCCCTCTCTCTACTTACCTCCACCCACTCCCAGTTTACCTAGGACATCTCATCTCTTTCCTCTTCCAGGGGAGATCTTTACATCACTCTTAGGGTCCTCCTTGTCACCTAACTTCTCCAGGGCGAAGGATTGTAACCTAGTTATCCTTTGCTTTACATCTAATATCTACTTACAAGGGAGTACACATCGTGTTTGTCTTTCTGAGATTGTTACCTCATTCAGGATGATTTTTTCTAGTTCCATCCATTTTCCTGTAAATTTCATGATGTCATTGTTTTGGTTTTTTTTTTCCTCTGAGTAATTCTCCATTGTGCAGATATGTATACAACACCTTTTCTTTATCCATTCTTTGGTTGAGGGAGTCCAGGTTGTTTGCAGTTTCTGGCTACTAAGAATAATGCTTCTATAAACATGGTTGAGCAAGTATCCTTGTGGTATGTTAGATCCTTTGGATATATGCCTAAGAGTGGTATCACTGGGTCTTGAGGTAGACTGATTTCCAATTTTCTGAGAAATAGCCATACTGATTTCCAAAGTGGCTATACACATTTGTACTCCCATCATTAGTGAACACAGTCACATCCTTAGTTCACATCCTCTCCAGCATAGGCTGTCATTAGTGTTTTTGATCTTGACCATTCTGACAAGTGTTAAGATGGCATCTCAGAGTCAATTTGGTTTGCATTTTCCTGATGGTTAAGGAGGTTAAGAATATCTAAGCCATTTTGTTGAGAATTGCTTAAATTTGTACACCATTTTGTAGGAAAAGATCCTCACCAACCCCACATCTGACAGGGAACTGATATCAAAATATATAAAAAAACTCAAGAACCTAGACTCAAAATACCAAATAGTCCCATTAAAAAAGTGATCACATTTTAAATTTTTTATCATTTTTATTTGAAAAACAATAATTATCATTTTACATGCTAACCCCAGTCCTCATTCCCCCTCCTCTTCCTTACTCCCTCCTTCTCCCCACCCCCATCCACTCCTCAGAGAGGGTAAGGCTTTCCATGGGGAGTCCACAAACTCTGGCATCTTACTTTGAGGCACATTATTTAGGTGTCTTCCCCCCCTTTTATAATTTAAATTGCAAACAATTTTATTTTATATGTCAATCCCAGTTCCCTCTCCCCACAATTCTCCCATGCACCCCCGCAGACCCCCATCCCATCCCTCTTCTGCTCCATAGAAAGGGTGAGGCCTTCTGTGGGGGATCATCAAAGTTTGTCACATCATTTGGGACAGGACCTACGCCCTCCCCCTGACTTTGTGGAGGAAGTGTGTCACTAGGTGCTAGGCTTTGAGGTCTCAGATGCTCAAGCCACCCAGTGTGGCAGTCTCTTTCTTTTGCCTGAGGACCCAGATGTAGAACTCTTAGCCACCTCTCCAGCACCATGTATGCTTGTGTGCCATCATGCATCCCACCATCATGATAATGAACTAAACCTCACAACTATAAGCCAGCCCAATTAAATGTTTTCCTTTGTAAGATTTGTTGTGGCCATGGTGTCTCATCACAGCAATAAAAAAACTAAGACAATCATTAAGTTATTTACTTGAGATTTGTTTGATGTGCTTAAATGCTCTACAGAACACAACTACCAAACAGAGAAAGACAGTGGTATAAAATATAACTATTGGTAAATCCTTCTGTGAGAAAAAGTCCATCAGAACAATGATGAAAGCCCAAATTTAGTATAGAAACAGAATAAAGGATAAGAGTTGTATACACATAAAATAACATCATGACTCAGAGATGCTCTGCCTCCCTACTGTGGTCTGTGTGCAATTTTAAAATCCAAATGTTAAATGTCAAAGCTCCAAAACCATGTTAAGCAGACCCTCTCCAGTAGCCATGAGGCAAGATAGATAAACTTATACTCTAAAACAGAAAAACAAAGAAAAAACTCTAAAATCTTAGCAGGATAAAGCCACAAATTTTTCATTCTTGCTCACACTGCATGTTCTTCAGGATCATGGATATTCTCTCTCTCTCTCTCTCTCTCTCTCTCTCTCTCTCTCTCTCTCTCTCTCTCCTCAAACAGGTGGTGGCAATACAGTCAGAGAACATTCCAGAGACTCTTATATCACCAGTTACATGGCTTATTCAACTACAAAGGAATCAGTAAATTCAGTCTACGTGCCAGAAAAGTAGGACATCATAAGCAATTTGCAAGATGATGCCAATAACCAGCACATACAGAGTGTTTAGTATGTGACCTTCCTGCTAATCAAGATGCTTTGTTTCTTCTACTGTAGAAAAGCTGATACAGTACCAGAAATGACCACTCCTGAAAAAATGTACTTCAGCGTCATGCAGACTCTGAAGCATCTGAATTCCCAACTGCCCAATGGAAGCCATGTTATTTTATATGGTTTGCCAGATGGGACTTTTCTCTGGGATAGTTTGCACAATCAATACCACCCTCTAGGTATATTATGCTTGCAGATTCTTTTCACTGTATGAGTGATATGTGTGCAGTGTATACATATGATGTGTGTATGTGCGATGCATGCATGCATTTATGTGTATTATATGTATGTATAATGCGTGTGATGTAGACTTATGATTGTGTAATGTGTCTGTGGGATGTTTTTGATATGTATGTGTGGTGTGTGCTTGATATTAATGCAGGAGGAATTTGAAGAAGTAAAATTTATGCTATAAGTTACACAAAGTAGAATTTAACTAAAGGATCACTGCCTCTAACATGACTGGAAGACAAGTAAGTATACTAACCAGGCTTTAAAGAACATGCCTCCATACTCAAGGGATCAACCCAGGGTCACAACCACCATTAAGTCTTCACACCCCATGGCTCAGAGACATTCCCAGCCCAAGTGGTTGTCTTTAAACACACAAAGGAGTTAAGAAAGGAGGAAAGGTCTCTGTGTTATGATATTTTTGCCAGTAAGGATAAGAAGTTGTATGAACATGGAAGCTATGCTCTCCTGACTTCCTCTTAAATGGCTGAATGTAGATATCTACTTTTTCCCTCCTGTGAAGAGACTAGATTGCTAGTTATTAGTCCTTTTTTCATTGGAATGGGAGTGAGATTTCTTGAGCAAGTTAGGGAAGTTGGTTTAACCAGGAACTGCAGGAGGAAAAAGAAGAGGAGGATGAGGAGAAGGGGGAGGAGGTAACATTGAAATGCACATAGAAGTTATGTACTCAATTTGTGTTGTCCAAGTCAAGTCCATGCAATGAAAGCACGGACAGAAGCCAGTGGCTTTGAATTCATCTAAAATTTGAAGATGCCACAGAGACCTAGTTGATCACGATGACTTTACTGGCAGTAGTCACTTGTAGCCTTCTAGATCTGACGTTCCCTCACCACACTGGGAGATTGCATATGTTCCTCCTAGACAAGCAAGTCAAATCTACTTTTCAGTGTAACTTACCTGCAGTACAAGTTAAAAGCAAGACTCTGTTCAATTACCTGCAGTCATTCTCTTGACTCTGAGATGTTCTAATATCCTCTATTATCCTCTTTGATTTTTGAGAGTGTGAGAAGTGTTTAATGGATACAGCATCAGCTAGATACCCATCCTGGATATTGGTGGAGGAGCTGGATTTTGCATGTCAGTCACAGAATGAAAACTGACTGCTTCTGGGGTGGATATACTGTAAAGAGGGAGAGAGAAGATAGCATGGTGTCGATACTTAGCAATTCAAAGGTTTCTGGATAGACTCCAAGGCATTAGACTTTCCACCACTGTGACATAATACCTGAGACAAATGGCTTAGAGAAAAACTTGTCTATTTGGACTCATCATACAGAAGATTGGGTCCTGCATGCTTGGCCCCATGTGTCCCTGCAATGTCATGATAGCAAAGATGTGTGGAAGGGGAGGTTCTTTACATGATGGCTAACAGGAAGCAGACAGAAAGGGGGAAACTGGAAATCAGGTTTAACCTTTAAAGACACATTCCCAATAAACTATTTCCTCCAGCTAGGGCCACCTCTTTAAATTTCCAGAACTTCTTAAGACAGTGTCACAGGCTGGGGAATGAGTGTTTCAGACATGGAGTAGGACACATCTCACATGCAAACCAAAATCATGCAGCACTTTCCCCTTCGTTCTTATGTACCTCTTTAACCTGAGTTTAAAAACAAACAAACAAACAAACAAACAAAAGCAAAAAAACCTGTAAGGTACATTTCCTAACTAGAACTCACTCAATATGGCAACTATGGAGAAACTCAATCTATTGTCATCAACAAAGACAAAAGTCCACTGGCATCGCCATCCCACCCAAGTGTAATGGAGCCACCCTGGCCATATTTGGAGGGCTGTGGTTCAGAATTTCATACATTCTGAATACCAGTTCCTCAGCATGGAACAACTGGCTCAGACCTAAGTGTTTCATAAGCCCAGAAAGGAGGATTCAGTCAATTTCCACCTGGAATGGAGCTCTCAGAGCCTCACAGAAACTTGGAGTTTCATGGCATTTCCAAGAGGAAAGTGTTGCCTGGCTATGTGCTTTGTTCAAGTCACTGTGATCCATTTAGAGCTATAGAAGACCCTATCTCTTCCTCTGAAGATTACATGAGGCCAGCGCTCCAGTCATTTCCTCTCTAAAACTAAAAAGCACTGAGACATAGACTCCTTAGGGTGTCTTCCTAACTCAGGCTCAGACAGAAGCAAAATACAGGCATCCCTCAAAGCTCTGCTGACTGATGAATCTAATCAAGATAACCGCCACTATCTGAAAGGAAGGCAGGGTCATCTGCAAATACCTTTGAGCATGGCCATCTGATTCCATGTGACATATCAGACCTCTGTGTTTTCCAGGCCAGCTAAATAAAGATGTGACCTATGCACACTTCTTCTCCTTCCTGAGCTGCCTCCAGGTAAGCCCAGAGGCCTCATCTCTCTCTCTCTCTCTCTCTCTCACACACACACACACACACACACACACACACACACACTCGAATGCATACATATGCAAGCACATGTGTACACACACCTCTTACTGTCTCTATGCCTCTTTAATCAAAGTTCTGTTTCTCTTCTCTCAGGTCAGTCCCTGTAATGGCTGGATGTCTTCCAACAAGACCCTCCGGACTCTCACTTCACAGGTAGAGCTGTTGAGTCCTCTGTTCCTGGGTTTGCTGCAGACTTGCCCTGAGGATAGGATTCTATAGCATAATAGTCACCAACCTAGTGAATAATAAAATCACATGGTCAGGGAATCTGAAGCCAAAAGAACTGTGTGTCCTGTCTGCTTCCACCCCTCCTAGGCCTGCCTCTCTTACTGTCTTCGTCTGAATGTACATGTTTCTCAAGCATGAACACATACACACATATACATAGCCTGTAACATGATCTGAGGCAATGAACTTGGAAGTTGAGGAAGATGAGCCTATGTAATGACTGAGCTCAAAGAGGACACATTACATGTGTGAAAGAATCCATTTACCAAGCAAATTATCTTACACCTTGTTCATAGGTTGTAAATTAGCTTTATAAAAATTAATAACTCATTAATAACTCATTTTTTGTTTTGTTATTTTTGAGACAAGCCTACCTATGTGGCCCAGGCTTGCTTTGAAACACAGAAATTTTCTTTCTTGCCTCAGTTTTCCAAGCACTGAGATGGCAAACATGGCCTACCACCTGCATATTTTCTTAATAAAACTTTATTGTAAAGAACTTGCAAATTTAAAAAATACGCAGAAAGATAAAAAATTAAAAATATATATTTCAATTGTGAAAACATGAAATGTAGAAATATCTACTAAGAATAGCAACAAAAATCGGGCTATACTCAGTTGTGATGGTATACACTGATAGGTTATGCTAAAGAGGCAGAGGGATGGGAAGATAGCAAGTTTGAGGACTGAGCTACAACTTTTGGGGCTAGGAAGAAGGCTTGGTGGCTAAGGGAATTTGCTGCACAAGTTTGAGAGCCTGAATTCAAATCTCCAGCACACACCTAAGGAGCTGGGCATGGCTGCACACATGGCTGTAACTAAAGTGCTAAAGGAGGCAGAGACAAGATCTCTGGAGATGGCTGGCAGTCAGCCTAGCTCCAGATTCAATAAGCGAACGTGTATCATGATAATAAGGCAGTAATGTCTAAGGCTGTCTTTTGGAATCTATACACATGTACATACATTTGCATACATACCTACACATATGCGTGTACACTTACACACACACAGAAAAAAATCATCTATGTATCAATATGTGAACGTCTATTATCACTTCCATAGGAATCTTGAGATTTTTGCCTACTAGATTGAAACTACTCATCCAAATTCTGATGTTCATAAATGGTTTCTCCACATTATAATAATACAACTATTTTTGCAGTGTCAAAAATATATGAATGTGGCACGATCTATTCCATCATTTTATTTGGTTGAATTCATTATTGTTTCCAGTTCTTCACCATAATGAATAACAAAATATGTGTTTTGTGGTGCCTCTATTTCCTTTACCCAAGCTCCTATAAGATATATTGTTCATGTTAAGATATTCTTGATCTGTATTGCCAAGCTGTCGTCTGGAACCATGAAACTTAGCTACATTTCCATTTATTCACCCTGAAATTCAATATTATCAAGATTGTTCATTTCATCTTTGTGAAATTCATTCAGGAAAAGTTGAATCTTATTACTTTAATTTGCACTGGTTTGGGTCCTAATGAATAGTAACATTTATTGTATGTTCATTGGTCATTTGTACATGAATACAATTTAATGTGCAGAGCTGATTTCTGCTGATGGCTTGGAGACAGGAAAGTGAGGTGATGTGTGGAAGATCAATTTCTTTTTTGTGACTGAATTGTCTCATGAAAGTCAAAGTTGAAGTTTCATGGAATTCTCTTTTTCCCTTGTTTTCAGAGAGCAGAACAACTCTCCAATACACTGAAAAAAATTGCAACCACTGAGACATTCACAAACTTCAATCTTTTCTACATGGATTTTGTCTTTCACGAAAGTAAGTCACTTGTTTTTGTCTTGACAGTAGGCAAGCACGGCAGCTGCGGTGTGGTACTGTGTTACACAGCACATGGAGCCAACCAGGCAGGGTCATCCTTGACTATTTGACATGATGACTCTCAGCATTGAGAAAAGATAAAGCATGAGGTGCTGTCTGACAGGTTGCAAATCAATGCCACTTCCTCACTTCACCATCCTTCTAAAGCCTCTGAAGCAACAGGGCCAGTAGTCAGGTTGGGCAGGCTAGAAGCCTCTAGTCTAATGGAATCACCCAACAATTCTTGTCAGGTTAGCAATGCCTTCTTCTGTGTGTGCTAAAAATAGATGTGACAGAAGGGAAGAGTTAGGCCATGCTTCTTGTGGTAGAGTACTGATCTACCTAGAATAAGCCTAGACCTGAAACTTAGCAAAATCTCTTAGAAAGGGGCAAAAAAAAATCCTTTGCAAAGTAAACCATGTCCCATCTCTTGGTTTGAAAATGGAAAGAATATTTTTTTCTTTTATAGCATTCCAAAAAGTGGGAGTCACTGACAAGTGGCCACACAAACTTAGGCTTGCTTACTGGAGCCTATCCTTTATATCTTGACTCTCTAAAAAAAATTACTTATGTTTGTAACCCTTCCAAGATTCATTTTCATTGTTAAGCAATTTTTCTGCATGAGAAAAGCCCCTGTTGATTGACTGCCAGCTGAGATGATGCTAATGAAATGCTTCAGTATGTACAACAGAGGGAAGATTTCTCATCTCTGTCCCTCAGCCCTAGCCCCCCAGCCCAGGCATCTGGAATGGAGCAGATGGCCATCATGAATTATTGAATATTACATTAGCTGACATGGTTTGCATTGCAAACTGTAGTACTTCAGCTCTGAACATCCTTTCAACAAGACTGATCAGTCTCTACTAGATTTCCTGCCACATGACACACATCTCTCTCATGGGGAGAGACATTTTGATAAATAACCTCTCATTAAAATGCAGAGTTAAAGACTTATTAATGAATTCTTGATGTAAACAAATGCACCACCAAGTGATCTTTGATCATTACCAACCTTGAATGTGAGTAAAGTTATTAAAAATCTAATAATGTCTAACATCCATATGGGACATTTTTTATTGTCCAGAATGATTTCCACAACTGTCATTCATTATCTCTGGTGCTGCAGGCAATTTGCTGGGCATCTCTAACCTCTCCAGTTCCAAACTCCAAGTGGGGATTCCTTTTCAAATGTTTTATTAGCATATATTAATTATACATAATAATGGTTTCATTATGACATTTTGAACATGCACATAATATATTTCAATCATATTCACCTACTGCTACCATCTCTTGTCCTCAACCCACACCCATTAATACTCTTCAACTTCCCAGATAACTCCCCTTAACTTTCATGTTTCTGTGTTGTAGAAACATGTGGAGTTTCTGTTCCACATGGTTCCACTGCCCTTCAGCCCCAAATCCCAAATAAACACACAAAGACTTATAATAATTATAAACTGCTTGGTCAATGGCTTAGACTTCTTACTGGCTAGCTCTCTCTTAATTATTAACCCATAGCTACTAATCTATGTATTTCTACATGGTCTTATCTCACTAGACAATGCCGGCATCCTATCTTCCTGTAGCTAAATGGCATCTCTCTCTGGCCACTTCTCTATGTGTTCTCTCCCTAAAATTCTCCTCATCTGAGAGCCCCGCCTATACTTCCTGCCTGGCTACTGGACAATCAGTGTTTTATTCATCACTCAATAAGAGAAACATATATCCAGAAGGAATCCTCCATCATCTCCTATTTTCTGTCTAAATAAATAGGAAAGTTTTAACTTTAACATAGTGAAATTATACATAACAAAAGTTATCAAGCAAGAATTTAGTTACAATACTTAGTTCATTAATATTTAGCAAAATTTAAAGAAAATATTCTATAATCTATCTTATCTTTGTGAATGTAAAGTTTTATATGTAACTTATCTTTTATCATAACTAAGGAAAACCATAACCATAACTATCTGTCTTCAACTCCATCAAAGACCTCAGAAGGATAATATATAAAATCTATAATTGACAGAAACATCTCGCTGCCTAGACAATCACCCAAAGTTCTTCTGTAACATTTGGGTATCTGTCTTCAGCCTATAGGCCCAGCATGTTTGGCAGACTTATCAGTAAAGCAGGAAATTTGAAACTGTCCCCCCTGTATTGGCAGTTTGCCAGCCATTTTTCTGTGTCCTGCAGAATGTCTGACAGACTCTTCCATGAAACAGGAACCCTGAAGGACTGTCCCATCTTGTTTTGTCAAGTTCAGCAGTTAGTTTCCTGTGGGTCCTGCATGCCCAGTTTATACAGAATACGGTGAAATAGTCCAGGCAAAAGCAGTTTCTTGCCCAAATGGCTAGTCTTGCCATGTCAAAGGTAAACTCCATAACAAGTTTCGTCAATGCCCATCTTCCTCTCTGATGTAATTGGTGTTGCCAGGAGCAATTGTGTCTCACTGTCATGAAAAACCCTAATAAACCATCTTAAATGTCATATTCTTAAAGTCTTTCAAAGGTTTTGAAGAATTCCTATTAATTTGAAGCATATCTCTGTATATCTAGAAAACCTAACTAACATAACTTTAAGTTTTGATTATTATAGGTGACTATAATCTGTATATAATTATACATTACATTTTTAAAATGAGCCCAGATAGCTCAGTTGGTAGAGCATGAGACATGTAATCTCAGGGTAATGGGTTTGTACTTACCTAGGGTGACAAAATGTAAATGGAGTTCTTAATTGGTCTAGATAATAAAAAGCTGGAGTCAGATATATAGGGAAATGCTAAGAGATCAGAGAGAAGGAACAAGCCATAGCACACCTTCCCTCCTTAGCATCTCAGCAGACAAGAGCTCAATTTCCTGTTTCTCCCTGCTTATATCCTGTTTCTGACCAGCCACCTTATTTCCTGTCTATCTACAGACCTCCAGACCTCTATGGTTAGCTAGTGGCAAGCTCCATTCTCTGACCACCAGACAGGCTTTATTTGAACAAGCAAGATAGCACCACATACATGGGGTTTAAGTTCTTTGTAAAGGTAAGCCACTAGGCAAGAAAGTGCCCTTGCTTCAACTTCTAACAGTATGCTGTCCAAATTGGACAAACAGGTCACCAAAAAGAGTGACTGAAAGCCTTGCTAAAACAAGGCAATCCAGTCAGTCAGATTATCCTGGTTCACAAAATGTCTGTCAGATATGGCTAAGCCTATAGGATGAAGATGGATGCCCCAACATTGCAGAGCAATCTCGGGTGACTGTCCAGGCAGCCAGCTATTTCTGTCATTTCTCATATTTTTTGAAAGTCACTTGCTCTCACTTCCTGTTTACTCAGTTAATATTATTTCCTTCTTGAGTCCCTGAAGAAGTTGAAGACTAAATAGTATAGTCACAGTTTTCCCTTTTTACCAGAATCAATAAAGAAACTCACTGTAGATATATTAAGTGTAATAGGTTTAAAAGACATTGAAAAATAATTTGATAATGCAAATTAGAACAGAAAGTAGATTAGGTACAACACTTGATGAGTACAAGATTAAGTACTCATCGAGAAAGAATAGATATATTTGCTTATGGACTAGACATTGTTAATGTACTTATTGCCATTTATATATTATGTATAGTTATTGTACTTATTGTATATAGTTTTTCTTATATTAGTTATAACCTTTTTTTAATTTTTAGACAAAGAATGGGATATGTGGTGATATCTTGCTTGTACAAATAAAGACTGTTTGGGATCAGAGAACGGAGCTTGCCACTAGCTAACCATAGAGGTCTGGAGGCCTGTACAGACATACAGGAAGTGAGGTAGCTGGGCAGAAGCAAGTTATAAGCAGTAACTTTTATCTGCTGAGATGCTAAGGAGGGAAGGTGTACTGTGGCCTGTTCCTTCTCTCTGATCTTTTAGCATTTCCCTCTATATCTGACTCCAGGTTTTTATTATCTAAACCAATTAAGAACTCCATTTACACTGTGTCTATGTAGAGCACAGTGAGTTTCATTATGGTTATTTACAGGTGCTGTGTGGGAATTTGTTTACAGGAACATATGCACCTTACCAACAGCTACACCACTGGAAAAAATGTCTTTGTCCTCTCCATCAACCATTTTCCCCATCTAAGTATTATATCTCTTGCTTGGAAATTCCTATCAACAATGTGAGAAATTTCCTTTTTCATAATTCCTCTACCATTTTTTAAAAAACAAGTGTGAAAATCCAGTTTTTCAACCTTCCTCTTGTCCATCCGAAGTTCTCGAGCACCCAAGCAGGGAAGACACATGAACATGGTAAAAGAAGAGTGGAGGCAGAAGATAGTGTTCTGGGACCTTTCGATATGAACACTTCATACAACATTTAATCGTTACGTACTGCCATGTCTACTTCTGAAAGGACCAGAATTTGTGTCTCCCTTTCAGGGACTATTATAATATATTGACTTATGGTCAAGATAAGAAATTTTAAGCTTGAAATACTAGCATTTATTATAGTAGGTAGAGTGATCACCCACTCCAGATCCACCTCTGGGCATAACCTTCCATCTTAGAAATCATGGCAGCATATTACCCTGGAAATCTGTCCCCTGCTCTTCCAACTTGCTATTGTAGAAAGAGCCCAGAATTTAGAAGCATGCTCTTATCTCAGTTCAGACAAAGATCATGGGATTTAGAATAGCAAGGGCCGGGTAGCCATTAGCTGGCATCATCCACCAGCTCATCGTCATCATACGTAAAGTATTCCCTACATTCTCCCACATAAGTATTCTCTTACAGAGACCAACCACCTCCCATCATCATCCACACCTGAGGAACTATTTCCTCAAGTTCCCCGAGGAAGATAGGCTATAAATGCAGCTCATTACCACCCAGGTCTCCTTTCATCAGAAATAAAAACCCAGTAGAGAAATTTATTAAATCTGCAGTCTGTAGTCCTATGAAAATTGCCCTAGTTTCACACTATAT